ACGATGAAAAAAGAGAAATAGCAATTCTAAAAAGATGTGCGTAATGATTGACGATGGGACCTTGAGGGGGAGTGGAATCTAGATGAAAAGGGTGAGATGGTTCAACTTGACGGAGCCCTTGAAACGGGCTTGAATGTGAATACATGAGTATGACAAATATATCAACTTCATTGGAAAAAGAGTGATTAAGGGAGAAAGAAATCCTACTCTGGCACGAGTTGGTCCGGGATTGATGTTATTCAGATATACGATCGTGTGAGTTTTATGTTATACAGTAATGACTGGCATGGGAAAAACGGCGACTCGGTTTTCACTACCATCCGGATTCACCGCGTTTACCATTCGCTTTGTTGATACTGCTTTGTAGTTTGCTCTAGGTTGGAATTATCTCTTCAAAATTATAGCATCAGTACTAGTTTTACAGCCCTTCTTTGAGGAAAATGGATATGACGGACCTGGATCCAACGCAGCTAATTATGTTACTATAATTCTCATTGCCATAGTTGCCATCAACCACTTCGACGTTGGCATATTTAGAGAATTGGAATTCGCGCTTTCGAGTTCAAAAGTTATCATGATTGAACTTATCTTCATGGTTTTGGTACTCAAGGGCTTTCGATCTTGAAAAAGTCCTGGAGCTTTTGCCCCTTACATAGAACGTTTGTGATATCTGCAAAGCCATTCTTCTTATATATACCCAATAATTCGCACGGCCTAGGCTGACAAACATTCAGCTGGATCTAAGGTAAATTTCTCGGCTTCTGGTGCGTAAGGTCAGGTACTGCCTCTTCTTCCTCGAAGCAGAATCCGTCGCCGTCACTGTGGGAGAAGCGGAAAACCCTCGTCGAGCCATTCCAAGCGCTGTTTGGGCAACCTTCTCCCGTGTCCTTCTTGTCTACATCGTCCCCATTCTCCTTTTGGGCGCAATATCCCCTAGCACCCCCCCTGGCCCCCTGAGTGCTGCTACCGCCTCCACCCACGGCGTGAACGCCAACGCCTTCCTTTCCGTTGTCGCCGAAAAACTTGCTCTATTCCCGCTCTCCCTTCTCTCATAAGCCTATATCCTAATTTTAACTTTTTCAGGCAAACTCCGATTTCTATATAGTGACTCAAATTTTACTTTGCACTCCCTCTCCATCGAACACAATGTCCCTTCCATTTTTTCTCGCGCCGAGCCTCGCGGGGTGCCGATTTATGCACTCGAGCTAAGTTCTGCCCTTTGTACAATTGCATATATATCTGGACGTATCAATACTTTTCAAATGCTCCACTATTTCACAAGTCGTAAGATCGACCTGGTCCTCAATGTTTTGCTTCTGGCCCAATCCCAAGTCCACAATTGATATACTATCAGTTTCTCGATGCCTTTTACTTCCGCATTTCCTTTCAAATAACCCTCTTCCAAAGACTACGAGTTCTAACTCTCACAACCTTAATGGTAACCATCTTCGGCATCTTAATCTAGATCAGTATACTAGTAAGCCACATCTTCTTCCTCTGAGCCCGACAAGCCCAAAACATGACCGGCACCCAACTCGTATACGTTCCCCCCTTCCGCCTCAAAGCCTTATTATGCGCTCTAATATTCTGTTGAATACATTCGCTATGGAGAGCGCAGAGACCTCAGTAAACGGAACGAGAGGAGGAATAAACTGGCCAAATCTAATAGTAGACTATATCCCAATCCTCATATATTTAGCCATGATACTTGGTTATGAATATAAGACGGGAAGTCGGAGGGTGATATCACGGTATGCGAATATATTTGGGGGAAAGGAGAGGATTGATTGGGAGAAAAAGAGTTTTTGGAGGGGGAGAGGGTGAAGAAAGGTGGGAGGGAGAAGACCGAGGGAAAACGGGAGAGGTTATGTAGGAGGACGCTGGGGGTTTTGTTCTGGGTACGGTGGAGGCTGTGGGGAGAAAGGAAATTTATGAGTCTGATGGCTGTTGTTGAAAAATTATGATGGGCCAAACTGCTTGGAAGCACCAGAGAGGCGGGAGGGAAAATGTTACATTCGGCACCTGCTTCGTGGACTTGCCCAAGATAGGTTGAATACGGGGTGGCTAGCAGATATCATTGCATATATCACAAGAGAAGTATTAAGCAAGAGAGATAAAGGTATCATTTTTTGATTTAGGCGTCCGTAATATTTTTCATTACTTATGAAGACCTCCGCTTGAAGCCATCAAGCTATCATAAGCGCCTACAATGTCCCATCCCTCATTGAATATTTGAAAACAAAAACAATCACAACAGCTTAATCCTCCTTCAAGACCTCAGCGTATTGAGTCTTGTTAATACGCTCAGGCTTGCCGGCATCCAATCCCTTTGTACCGATCTTCTCTTTCGAATATCCGGCAGCGTATGGGTTCAATCTCAAGAGAACTTGCTTGTTGAGCAATGGGTTCTTCTTCTGAACACCAGCACGCTTGGTAAGCGCGGATCCCTTAGCAGCACGGATAACGGATTGCAATTCAGAGGAGTTGATGAGACGTCCAATGTCGGCTTGGGAGACAACGTTGGATGGGAGGAGGAAGTCCTTCTTGAGGGCGGATGGGGCGGTGGTGGTACCGTAGATGTTGTCAAGAGCCTTGAAGGCAGATGAAGACCAGATGATGAAACGTCCGAGGTGTCCACCTGGTGCCAATTGCAACAAGTTCAAGGAGTAAACATCACAGGTCTCAACACCTGGGAGGTTACGGAAAGCACGGACAAGTTCCTTGCCATCGGTGGCTCCGTCATAGACAACGAGGGGTCCACGTCTCTGTCTGTGACGACGACCTCTGAGCTTACCCTTACCGGCACGGAGCTTTCGGGAATCCTTAACCTTCTCAACATCTTTCAAAGCACCGACAGTCTTGAGGAGACCAGCTGCAGCAGCAGTGCGAGCAATCTTGGCACCCTCAAAGACCTCAGAGTTAATGACGAGAGGAACTTCAGCGACTTCGGAGATTTGGTGACCACGTGCGAAAAGGAGGGCTGGGACACCGGAGGCAGCGAGGGCAGAAACGGTTGCGAATCGCCTATATAAAATTAGTTGAAATTTGAGTAAAGGTTCATAATCGAATTCTCACTTTTGTCCAAGGTTAATCTTTTGGTGCCACTTTCTCCAGACCTTTGTAGGAGCGAACATACGTCCAGATCTGCACATGTTACCGAAAGCAGCTTGACCAGCACGGTGAGTTCCACCACCAGAGACACGAGGAATACGGGCAACAGCACGACCTGTATAGATACCACAATTAGCTTGAACCCTTTCTTCCTATTGTAAAAAGTTCTGCTCTTTGAGTTTTCGCGCCTAGCCCAAATTCTATCGATTGCCCAATCCTTCCATATTGTGTAAAATATTTGCACTAACCGGTACCCCAGGACTCAGCAGAGGTTTGGTGACCAGCCTTCTCGCTCACAGCGTATGGTTGACGCTTGTTCTTGGCCATTCCGGTGTGGACGGTCTGAACAATATCAGGTCTGATTGGGGAGGTGAAGACCTATTCAATTGCCGTCAGTTTCAATTCCTTCAAATGTTCCAAACACCTCCAGATTCCATTATATCGACTTTGATTTTTCGCATTGAGGTATTCGTACCTTTGGAAGAGGGATGGTCATGCCGGTGGCGGTGCCATCGGCAGACAAAACGGAAACTGTTGGTCGGGAAGCCATTTCGACGGATTAATGACCTGCGTCGTGGGTTGTCGTTGGTTGTCGGAAAGGTGTTGATGTTCTTCGAACTTTATTTTTCTTCGAAAAACTTGTGCGAGAAATTCGCTTAGCGAATTTTTGTTGATAAGGCCTGAGGCAGGCTACGATTGAAGTTCGATTACTCATTAGCGCACTATGTACTCTAGCTTTATCGCAATGTATGAGGCGGGGTTTCGGTCACTTGGCAAATGAGGATTTATATTCGGTGAATGGTTATTTTGTTGCTTCGTTACCTGAAAAATGTATTAGTCAAATAGGAAAAATGAGAGTCAAGACTCGAAACCAACATCATGCAAACGCGGGGAACCTTGGATCAATATCGCGTAGTTGAGTAGTTCTATCTCATTCACCCCTTTCTTCATAATTTCCTCATTGTCAACTTGTATCACTATCAACTCAACATGTTAAAGACTTTGCACTTTTTGACTACGATGAGAATATCAAGAAGATAGAAGGGGGATTTGAACAAGGCCACAATCAAGTGTTGTATGGCTTCCTCCTGAAGCTTTTGGTAAGCCTCTCTACAGTCCCAAGTTTAATGGATACAGTCTGCTCTATATTGTATATATCTCATACTTTCCTGGAGCTTAGCGTCTTTTAAGTTACTGCGGTGGGGTTGTGAATTGACAGTCAACGCTATCTGTTAACTCAACCTTTTCCGACGTCAACGTCAATTCAAGAATACATGATCGGCCTCCTCCTGCTCCATCAAATCTGCACTTCAATTGATATATTGATCAATCTTTTGGTGATGATTTTTGTCGGAAGATGTCGGCGAGATCCTCAAATTTAACCCCCTGGAGAATACCCTTATATTTGATTTTAGTATTAATAACAATCAGTAGCTTTCGCAACATATATCAATTGGATCAATGATGTATATCACGTGCAGACAGCCAACCCAAGCTCGCAATTCTACACTGCTGTCCACGTGTTTCTGACGTTTACTATACATTCCCATCGCCGGAAGTCCATGGACGATACCAAACTGAATATTGCCTGCAGCGTTTTGGAGCCTTATCGGCAAATCCTAGATTAGGACATTCGAATTTCCCTCAAAGGTCGACAGCCTGCTACTCATTGTCACGATTCGGCGCGAGCTGCGGACGATGAAGCTTTGGTCACTTGCACCGCCAGCATGCAGTTGCACAGCCTCAGCCTCAGCCTCTGTTTTACGCTTTGACGCATCATCTCCGAAGATCCTGAGCGTGTTAGCCACTAGCTTCTCGAACATTTGCTCCACCCTAGCGCTACATATTTTCAAATAGTGCGAGCCACTTCAACAACAACTATAACAACATCTTTGATGGTCTAACGGTCATGATTTCCGCTTGTCATTCATCTGGCAAAGCGCGGGAGACCGGGGTTCGACTCCCCGTCAGAGAGTTCATCCAGAGAATTCCTTGAATCTCATGTTCAAACATTTCTTTTTGGCTGGTTGAGAGACTTTTCCGGCCCTGGGAAGACACTTTTTCTTTTCCATACATTAGAAACGGTGAAGCAGACTAACTAATAAAGCGCAGGCCTGTAGAATGCATTTATGTTTCCCATCCATTCTTTTTAGGCAGTTTTACGAGTTTTCCATTTTTTTGGTTCCAGTTTTGGTACCCACCCGTGATTAGATTTCAACCCACCAACATGATCTGTGCCCCATCTAATCCAAGTACCCCCCGATTCAGGGAGCAGTTCAGCATGCTATGGATTTGCACAACTATTCAAGCGAGTTTCTTGATCAAATATCAACATCGTATGTGATACCTAACTCTAGAACATACCGCTTAACTTCTCTCAGTCTTCTATAGTGGGCGACAAAGCAGAAAACTTTTCTCTGGAGCACAAGGTACTACCTCTTCATGAGCTTCATCCTATTGCAGATATGAATACATCCAGTACAGAGGCGCACCGGATTACTCTCCTCTTCCGCAATAACTAACACGTTTCCGCATCTCTTCCATCACACTTGTACCAAGGCAGTGTTTCAATAGTCTGGACTGCAGGCCGACAATGTGATAATCCCGAGTTCTGTATCTATTTCAGATATCGAAGCACTGGTAGCACCGAGGTTATATATAATGTTGGCTGAAATAAAATTTTCTATTGAAATAGATGAGCCGTCTTCAAAGTCTCATAGCTTTTTTCGACACTGAAAAGGGCCCAAATTCTGACTAGAAGTTACGAGTTCTTAACTACTCTGTACTGCCCTAGATTATAAGAATCCTCTCGTTCCTCATCCGAAATTCAACTTTAGACAGATCTCAGATCAGCGACTTTTCAATTTCGCAATCGGCGGACATTTGAGGTGTATAAGACATAATCTCTCATACGAGCATGATATACATGACGAATACCGTTAAACTTTAACTTTACCGTGGTTCAGATTCAGATTCACACTGTTGACTCAGCACAACAAGGATTGCCATCACACCACAAACTATCATATCACTTGCATACCATACGATCACCCACATGAACTGTTGAACAGTGGGACAATACACTCGGACTACCGAGGGAATCTTTCTAGAATGACTATCTCCTCCTGGTATTTTCATGTCTAATTTCGTGCTCATCCCTGAATCCTGGAGTAAATCATGCTTCATATATATTACTCTCCAGCGGTGAAGAAGACCCTAATAATCCTAAACCACTAAACCAAGCTCGAAGAAGCAAATCCTTGCGATAAATTGAGGAGAAGATACGGATCGTATCGAATATTGGACGAAATTTTCAAAAAAGGGATCTACCAGTGGGAATAAAAGAAATTATTCTCCTAGCGAAGCTCCTGTTGTGGGGATCGAAATTTAAGATATCGATTTCTGAAGCTTTTTTTTCTTCGAAATTGATTCTCCACAAAGCAAGCCTACAATATCGACAGGGAGTTTTCCGAATACACACGAAAACATCCTTCACGAAAACGATATTCAAATGTGATTGGAGGGATGGGAACGGAATCACATTTCACCCTCGCCCACTTATATCGTTCATCCACCATATTATGATATGCATAACTCTAGTTATCTACCCTGTCTCCTTAGCTGGGGAATTTTATTTTAGCTTTGCAGACGTAGGAGTCTGTGCGGAAAAAGTTTAACAGGAATACCGTGTTTTGTCTGTGGGTAATATAGAGGAAATTATACATGTAGGGTTTGAGGTCTGAGATTCGAGAAGATAGGTCGTAAAAGAAGGAGGGAAGTTTTTGGCGCACCGCGAATGTACTTGGCATTTGTGATACCGATATTGGGGGTGGCGATGAGGAGAAATTTTTAAGGAGCGTTGAGGTGAGAGATTGATACACAGCATACAGGGATATGGTATGACGGGAAAGAATTCGAAAACCGGTCGCGATAATGGATAGATGGATGGATATAGCTACGATGAATACAACATGAGGAAATAAAACGAGATGGAAGGCCATGAGCAGCCATAACCCGAGATATTGGTTGGGTTAAATGGAGGCGTGGTTTATAATATACATACATACAGTATGCAGTATGCACAGCATATCACAGTCAGAGTAGTATCACTAAACTCTGAGACACATGATGCAAAAGCGTTTAGGGCATTTGATATTTTAGTATTTGGGGGTTCGTACTACCTATACACATAACATGGTGCATGTTACATCATTAAGAAATAAGGAATGCATGAAGCAATTATTCATTCTAAATACCTACCTACTACCGTCTCCGTACGTATTACGCAGTAATAGAATTACGGTACATGATATGTTGTGCCTGTACAGTACATATGTACATATATATCACAAGTAAATCTTACCAAAACCACAACACGCACACGAAAACAAATTCTCCGAGGATGGGGGTTGGGAGAGGGGAAGGGTGGAAGGGGAGAAATGGGTTGAATATGCAGGTTGCATACACTACCGTTCCGGTAGGTAGGTAGGTAGGTAGGTATGTTTTGAGCGTGGGGTTTGTGTTGCAATTGGGGGTTGTGTTACAATTGGGGGTTGTGTTGCAATTGGGGGTTGTAAGTTGTGTGACTTAATTATTTTATTTTGGATGGACTTGGGTGCGCGCAATTGTGAGGTGTGCTGATGGGATGGATGGCCGGAGCTGTGGTTTGTATCGTGTGTCCTTGGGTTGTATTGGCGTCGTTGATGTATTTAGCACGATGTATTATTGTATATTGTATATTGTATCGCGTGGATCTGAAAACATTGTATTGATACCTACTAAAGGATATGGATGGTTGGAAAAGATATATGGAAATATTGTTCAATTCATAGTAAATCTTGCTCGATTCGATGAACAAATGGCAATGCTGAATTGTCACTACTCCTAAGCTATGCTATGCTATGCTATGCTATGCTATTCTATGCTATGCTATGCTATGCTATACTCTGCTATGCTATGCTATGCTATGCTATGCTATACTCTGCTATGCTATGCTATTCTACGCCATCTATGCTAAACACAATCATCTCATCCCATCGCATCCCATCTCAACTCATCTCATGTTGTGCCTGCAAGCATATGCATTTCTCTCTTCCCTCCCAAAGTCCCTTTCAAAAGTCCTTCAAAGTCTCCTGGACTCAATCCCACCACCCCCAAGTAAAAATTACACATTTCCTTCCATCTAGGATTTTTGCCCACCCACCAACACCAAAATCCATCCAAAAAGATCAATCGATCCACTGTGATAAAAGAGACAGTAACGAGATATGGTAAACATATGCAATGCGCGCGGGCAGAGATAGTAAAGTGGTAAGAAGCAAAGGTATTTCCTCCCGATAGGACAGCCCATCCTTAACGCCTTGCGGAAACAAAGAAAAATAAAGCAAAACAAGTAAATAGCAAAATAGATAGCCTCCGTAGCGGTCATTGTGTTGTACCGGTAATCCCATCCCAAAAACTCCTGTGCCAAAAGAAAAATCGCCCAATTTGCGGCGATGGATGAACGAGAGTACGAATGAAGATCGTATCGTAGAGTAGAGCGTGCCGTGCTGTGGCAAAGACAAATAAAAGAAAACAACAAAATAAACAAATCGTATATGGATATATATGTCAAGTGTTAGACTTAGAAGGTGAAGAGCTTATTCCCTTTAACACTCTTCCTTCTATTTCCCATCCCCATACCCATCCAACCCTTCAAGCCCGGACTACTCGTATTCTGCTGAGTAATTGGTGTTTTTGGCGGAGCCTCGCGGATAACATTTCTCATGATATCTTCATATCTGACCGGCGCTTTCTCATCGATCGCCGATTGTGTTTCCTGTGTTCTCTTTCTCTTTTCCTTCTCCTCGTGCATAAACAAAGGTACTGTGGAGGATCTCCTCATATTTCCGAATTTACTCTCTTTGGGTGTTCGCTCATCTACTGTGAGCAAGCTCGTTTTAGACGTATTGCTGTGAGCTAAGGATGATCTCGAGGTATTGCTGTGAGCGGTAGGTACTACTGCGGGAGTGTATGACAAGTTTAATTTCGGCATACTGGGACGCTTCTTCGCGGATTTGGTGAAAGAGCGAGTAAGACCTTGGAGACCTTCCATGAGGCTGTTGGGTGTTTTGGGACGTTCGTGGTGCATGGATTTTGGTCGGCGTGATTGAAAGTTTTGTTCAGGTTCGGGAAAGACTGGACGGTTTTCGTTTTGGGGAGAGGGTGTGGGCGAAGGGAATGGATCTGAGGAGAGAAAGGCGTGCTGAGGGGATGCATTTGAGGAGGCAGAGGCAGGTTGCAGGAAGTTTGTGCTGGAGTTGAGTTTAGAGGGTTGTTGAGGAAGGGTTATGCTGGAGGCGTTGCCGTGGCTTGTGTTGAGTTTGGAGAGAGCACCGAGAGTGGAGATGGAGAGGCGACGGGGAGATTTTCGAAGCGGCGAGTTCTGTCTAGAGCTTCGTCGCGGTGGCTGTGGCGGGGGAATTGGTACTAATGATGCGATGTCTGCGACCGAATGACGGATTTGGTAGTCGGTCACCGGGCAAACATTGCGAAATATAGGATTCGAGTGAAAGCTTGTAGGACGGGGGATTTCTATGACTCGAGGTTTGGAGACAAGAGTAAAGGAAATTACTCTTGCAGTATCTTCAGCAGATGCACGAGAGGAACTTCGAGAACTACTATATTCAGAAAAAGGAGCAACTTCAAAATCGAGGAGGGTGTCTGTGTCTGAGAGTGAAGCATCTTCTTCGCTCGAGAGGTATAATTCATGAGGATCTGATATTTCGGATTCTGGTTCCTCCACCACTTGTTTCGTAGCTTCGAATTCATCCATACACTTTAATTCCGACACAACATTGTTTAACATCGTAGAAATCCTTTTGCTGCTTCTGCGAGGGATAGTAGGTATTTTGGGCATGCTAGGCTTCTTCTTTGGCCTTGACCTATTCACCACTGGATTGTCCATATTGCTGTCAAGATTTGAATCGTCGTCGT